GAGTGAAGTACAGGCAACCAAGCACACACACTTGATCTCATCAAAATCATGGAGGAAAAACTACAGTTTAAAAAGAAAATATTTTCTGAACTGTGAAACACTTCAAAGTCTGTCAACTGTGAAGCACTTCTCCGAGAGTCGCTTCTTTACACCAAGGCTTGTGGGAGTATGCAACAGCTGCTGATTAGCCAGAAGCTTAGATCAATTAGCGATCAAATGAAGGACCTAACGGCGGTTTCTTGCTTGTAACCTTCCTCCTGTTCTTACGTAGTTCATCCAGCACAGCGAGTCTGGGCCCTACATTTGATTTACAGGGACCTGCGCGTGACAGTGAGGAATGAAAGCGGTTTATAAACCATTTACAATCTTGTTCACAAAATCCCGGCCCGGAGAACAAGCCTGTCAGCCAGCTAACAGTGCTAACAAGCCTCCCCACCTCCCTCGCTGGGCAAAGCCGAGCTGTAGAAGCTCTCCCATCTGACATGCCTTTACAAAACGATACAGTCGTTACAACAGGAAGGAGGGAGACGTAGTTAACATCACTTCGTATCCTGAATTGTCTTCGGTACAAGGACATGAGAAGTCTGAGCGTTTCATTAAGGTCGGTGAATTTGCACGGTAATTAAGCATATATTTGCTTAATGTAGTTTTTCCAGTTTGGATCTTACTTACACGTGTTGTTCCAAGGTTTGTCCTACTTTAGCGTGTCCTGGTACGCAGCATACAATAGTATACCACAGCATAATGATATAAGGCTTAACAATTACTGTGAGGAAGAGATCAGCTTTGAATTACAGTCATTGACCACTGCAGGGAGACTGGAAGTATTAACTGTCCCTCCCATCTCTACTACAGCACTGGATTACTGAATGAGCCAGTGCAGCCCAATAGCTCTGCCACATTGTACTGCAAGACACAGGAGCCCTGGAACACTCTGACCTTGAGAACAGCACATTCTTGGTTCATTATGATGAGCGCAGGAGAAGAAGGCACAGGAGCCAGCCAGCTTAAAGGGCCCAGTGTCCTGTGCAATTGCCCTCACTTTAATTGCCTCTTTTACTGTACAAACATTTTTCCAGGAAAGCACGCAGGCCAGTCTTCTCCACTTAGAGAAACTCTAAGTACATTGCTGAAAAGAAAAAAACAACTCAGAAAACACAGGCTACTAAGGGAAGTAAAATCTTCCTTGTGGCCTTGCCAACAGTCATACCATCTGAAGAAGTGAAGAAAGATTAGAGGAGAGAGGAATAGCTCATTTGCTAGTAAGCAGCCAATTGATCCCAGAAACTCATCCAGTCGTTTCTTACAAGAAATTACAGCATCACCTTCAGAAACACGCATTAGTGTCTTGTGCCATACTCCCTTCGTTTACGGACTCCAGCAGAATGTGGGACCGAACTGCCTCTTGTTCTCGGCAGTTTCCACTTGTGTCCCCCAGTGTGTGTTTCTCTCTTGGTTCTGAAAACACGTCCACTGGGGCGACTTGGTGGGTGCCTTTGAGGATTTTGAATATTTGAATCGGACCACCTTGCAGTTTCTTTCGGCCCAAGATGGCAGATATTCAGTTCTTCTAGGTTGTCAGGGTGGGGAGTCCAGGAATGTAACTATTTCCAGGCAGATTAACATGACACTGATCTAAATTCTACACCTTTAACTATGCATCCCAGCATTCATTCTGTTTGTCTTGTTTATTGCTTCCCTACAGATGAGGGGGTGTGTCAGCATGAACACTAAGCTGTTTTCACAGGGCTTTGCAACATAGCGAGTTCCGATTTCTGTTTCTGCTAGCTGCATGTAACGATGTGCTCGTCTACATTAGGAGTGTCATCTGCCAGGCCTTGGCCTGGTCTTGCCCTGAGACTTGCCGAGTTTCCTCAGCAGAATTCTTAATCCTCCAGCTTTTGGTCTCTTGCCGAAATGAATTAGTTTTCTAACTCCGGCGGAACGTGGACCACTCAGAAGAGGGGTGGTCCCAAAGCAAGTTTTAAGCCCGCAGGTGCCAGCGTCATTCTTACATCTGGCACACACACCTGCCCTGTTGTGGATGTGTGCCACCCTGTGAAGACACAGCAGGCGAAGGTGCCATATACTGTAAAACCCCCTCACACTGCGCGCGGGGGAACGCTCAGCTCCAAAGCGCAAGAGTTTGATCGGAAAAAAAGCACTGACGAATAAAATCTCGCTAATTGGCTGTCCAGTGGGAGAGCGAGGCCCTTTAACAGACCCTTCACTCACCCCTCTGTCAAATCCTCTGCAGGTGTTGTGCGCTCTGTTCTCATTAGTCTGTTCCCAGACACCTACATTCTAACTTCAACCTTGCTCTTGGTGCCTTCTTTAAGAGCAGAGGCACTTAATGAGCTCAGAGCAGCATATGCTTCACAACAGGCGAGAACCCCCCCCTCCACCTTGCATGCCCCCCTGAAAAAGCAGCAGTTCAGTCCTTACACAGGGCCCCCACTCCACCGGGCAGAGCTGGTTATGTGCAGAGGCGGCTCTTTGTGCTGGAGGCTGGCTGAACCACAGTCCGCGTGGCGATTTCCCACAGCAGGATGCTGTTTTAGCAACAATGCTCAGCAACAATGCCCCTTCCCTGCTTGTCTTCTGCCCTGTACCCCTTTGTGAACACTTTTTGTTTTCCTATCAGCTGAGGGTTAAAAAGGATTCCCCACGGGGGCGTTGAGCAGGTAAAAAAAAAACAGCTGGCAGGGGCGAGGGAAAAATTGGGTTTAAAAACCCAATGCCACCACAGACTCCCAGGAGCCTGCCTCACTGAATCCCAGAGCTGGGGACTGCAGGGAAAACGGACTCGCTGAAAAGGGAACCAAACAAAAATTCTCTAGATTTTATTACGGACCGACGTCAGCTCCCAGGAAAACTTCAGAGACGTTAAAATGATGAAAGGGAATTTTAGTCAAATTGCAGAAATTCACCCTGTTCTGGGGGGAAAAGCCTTAGCTTTTCAGAATAAGCCCTGAAATAAAAAAAAAACAAAACACACCCCTTGACATCACATCGACCAGTGCAGAAATCCCAGTGTGTACTGGCAGAGCTCATCAACAGGGATCAGAAGGTTTGGACATGTGGCATGAAAACCAGATCTGTTATATACAGCAGACGGACATCATCACTTCAAAGTCACGGTGCCCTCTCTCTAGAAGCAATGGGCAGGGTACACCCTGGAAGGGACACCAGTCCATTTCGGGGCACACACAGACATACAATCACACCAGGGCCAACTTTCCCAGTTAACCTACCAACATGCCTTGAACTGTAGGAGGAAACTGGAGCACCTGGAGGAAACCCACACAAACACAGGGAGAACACACAAGCCTTGGGAATCGAGCCCAGGACCCCAGAGCTGCAAGCCAGCAATGCTAACCCAAGATGTATTTTACCAGATTCACAGAGGATATATTTTAAACTTCATGAAGTAGGTTTTACATAATAAGTTCAGGTAGGGAGCTGCGTCAGCATGCGTAGGCTGCAAAGTAACAAGTAATAGGTTTATTCCATGCTGAAAAGAGAAGAAAGAAAACGCAACGTTGCGGCCGTGGAGCCTTCTTCAGGTGTGACAAAAAAATAAGGTTGCTGGTGGAAGACGTGTT